TTAATATGGCAACACAATTATGGAATCAGATTTTAGCTTTAATCGTGTTCCCGGATCTACTTTATCTCAATTCTCAAACCTCCTACTGGTAGCATGTTATTTATCGTATTTAGCTGAAACCATACTCTTTATATTGTAGAGTTTTGAGTGCCTAGCTCATGGTCTGAATTTATGTCTGTTCCTAATATTATCAACCATCTTGACATGTATTTGGTTCACTTCTCTGGCTACTAATACAAGATGCTTTTGTATAGACTTAACTTCATAGAAGGTGAGTTGGTGTCACTGTATAAGTTTCTCAGTTTTCACGATAGTAACATCATTTGTGCTTAGACTGACAACTGAAATCAAACAATTATTGAAATCTCTAATTTGCCAAACTTGGTATAGATCCGATCCTGACCAAAAGAAACACACAAAAGAGAACCAAAAATAAAGGAGAAAGAGTGTGACTATGCTAGTGTCATTCAACAACCAAAAAATGAGAACAGCCACTTGTCGCATTCACCTGCGTCAATATCTAAAAATGGCCAAGTTCTCATTGGGCAAAGCATTATGATACGTGCCATAGCCCAAGTTACGCCAACGCAATGCAGCTCTAAGCTTGCCACCCAAAATAGCCCTCATCCCATGTTAAAACTACGAGAGTTCCTCGCAGCAGCAACCAACGCACAAACAACACAGCAACTAGCACCCCAACAAAGGCAGCGCTAGCTCACGCGAAAATGGCTCGTGCTCTCGCACTCATCGTGATCCTCCGCACCGCCATGGCCGTGGCACCATCAGTCCTCGAGGCAGCCTCTAGCACCTCAAGCTCCCCGTCATCGAGCTCAGAGGGGCCAAGTGGGTCGGTGGCAGCGTCCAGCCCGTCCGATGCTCCCGCGAACTCGCCAAGCGCCTCCAGCCCATCCGCCAGACCTATCACTGCCGATGCCTAAGAGGCGAAGGCACACAGACAGACATGGAGTTTTGAAATGATCCATTGTGGCAGTAATAAACGTTGTCGGTCTTTTGTTATTCTTCCTTATGTTTGGAGCAATGATAAAATGTGTATCAGTTAGCAATCGATAATGCCACTGGAGTTCTGTTTCTTGTATTGTGATTGATTATTTTATCAATATAACGTACTCTGCTTTTTTGTATGTTGGATTCTTCACCCTTGTGGAGTAAAATGTGTTTTCTGTCATAGCTTTGCTGCAATTACCTGCGGTTAAAAAAAACTCGACATGTGAAGGGTAAGATAAGACAACCCTTGGATATTTTTGTTAAGAAGAAGGATCTTCTCACGCAGGTCGAGAAAACACTCGAATCCCCATCCCACTTGTACACAGCGGTGTCATAGCTCATGTGAGAATGACCACGATTGGGGCCGGTCCCTACCTTGTGATGGCCAATGGGTACTATAACTTCTTGTATAATTTGCCAACCAAACTTTGAAGTATTTGTTTTTAAGTGTGGTACCAATCAAAATATGTGAAGTAAAACGTTGGCCTCCTACTAAATTTCTGGTGGGGGATTTGGAACGAAAGGAATGTAAGCATTTGTAACCTTGAAAAACATTCAATCGTCACTCAAGTAATGGAAAAGATCAATGAAGAGATCAAAGCCAGCAGGGTTTATTTCAGAACTTGCTGAGTAGTTGTTCTCTACACTTCTCTTAATCTGCTTATGTAACCCGTCTGCTTTTTTGTTTGTTTCTCCTGAGCTTTTTTTGTTTATAGATGCAGTTTGAGTCTTTGTACTGTTTCTTTCCTTCTTAATTAATGCATAGTAGGCAGATCTTGAGTTGGGATATCAAAGCAACAACCTTGTCCCAGTGTGGAACAGCCATGTTCATCATAAGCTAGATATATTGTTACTACAAAGCCGATCGACTAAACCTGAAATAAAAATGACATAGTACCAATTTGCGAAGCGGAATATTAGGGAGGCTGTGAGCTTCCAGGTTCTGACAATGGTATTGGTCGTGGCCAGGTGATTCACACAACAGTTCCAGATGAAGCTTTTTTTTTCTATTCTGTTTTCGCCATAAGTTTGTTTTCTTTAAAAAAGGGGCCCATACCCATTTCCATGACAACAGAAAGTGAGAAATTTGTTGATTTTTTCCACTCCCAGAAACAGGTACCAAAGCGCTCTTACGCTATTTCACATGATCCAAACAAACAAACCTAGAAAGCAACATAAAGAGTTTACAGGTAGGGATGCAACTGGTGACATCAATGGGTGGGTTCTATTGTGTCAACTAACTAGCGGATTTGTATCGTATTTCAGTTGCTTTAGTGTCTTGATTAGTTTAGTTAGATGAACTTTGAATGAACTCAGCGAGCAGGCCCAATAATTCGCTATACAGGGATGAGAGGATGTCCGCAGCAAAAAAGGCGAGAGAGAGACCAAAACATAAAGGCTCAAATGCAGGATTTTTTTTCCCTGTTTTCTGCATTTTTTTCTATCAATAATGCTACTGTCAGGGCGTTCGTCCAAGCATCTCTGTTCAGACGCCCCGTTCTTGGCCTGAGCAGCCATCGAGGCCCAACATCAATATCCTGCGGCCTCTCAAGTCTTCAACTAGTTCCGCTCCCCAACTCAATCCGCGTGTTGTCCAGAATATTCCCCACTCCCCAGCCATCGCGGCTGCTTTCACCACACCGTCCGCCGTAGCGGACGCCATCGCACCATCTTGCCGTGTCCTTAACGCGCCTCTGCTCGCCCCACTCTGCCTCGCCCGCCGCAGCCATCCCCTACCGCACCCCATCCCAAAGGTCGCGCCCATCCCAATCTCGCGCCACGCAGTGCGGATGTCCCTCATCGCGCCCCCATGCACCTTGCCCATCACGACCATGGCGTGCACTGCGCCACCACCACCCCGCCCCCACCAGGAGGAGGTCGCCGCAGGTTCTGCAGTTCTCCACAAAGGTAGGCCGTGGCCGCGCGGGCGTACGTTGTGTTTCAAGCGTTTCAAACTTTTGTTTCAAGTGTTTTATCTTCATGTTTTGCAAAAGTCGACTTGAGATGTTGCATATGTTGCAATAGCAATATGCGTATGTTATAAGCCTATGTTTTAATTGTTTCATGTGTTTCAGACGTTTGTTTTAAATGTTTCATCTGCTTATTTCAAAAGTAGATCTTGGTGTTGCACATGTTGCAAATAGCTTCACACGTATGTTTCAAGTGTTTCATTTGTCTCGGACTAATGTTGTAAATGTTTCATCTGAATGTTTCAAAAATAGCTTGGGTGTTGCAGGCCACCGTCCGCCTATTGCTGCTGCTGAGAGCACCGCCGTGTTAGCGTGCTAGTGCCTAATGTTGGCAGACACCTCCATAAGCAGGCGAGATGGGCGCATGGGCAGCGGGCGTCAGGATGGGTTTCACCGCCATGCGAAGGGGGATGGGCTTTGGGGCACAGTTCCGCGTCGGATCGCAGGATTAGCGGGCGTGGTTTCGGATGGCTGGATGGGAGCGGGATGGGGAGTGCGTGACCGCTCTGCACCGAGTCGAGCACGGGACTTAGGCCTGCGGTTGAGTTGGTTTTGAGAACTTCTTTGTAATGCGTACGGAGGTGGGAAAAGGGGATGGGGTTGTGGAGTCGAGAAAAGCTGAAATTTGGTTAAACAAGTATAAAATATACCTTTTATCTTTATCTCTCTTGAAACAACTATGGAAGAGCTTTTATTCCACCAATTTCAAAAGCAAAAGCCAAAGGTCTGGGGTAGGACGTCCGAGCACTAGCCTTACTGAAAATCAATTGATTTCTGTACATCTAAAGGCCCTAAAGGGGCTTAAACTGACATCAGGGGCTTAAACTGACTGCAGTTCCTGAAATCAATCGAGGCCGGCTTTGCCTCCGGCCACTGCTAGACGCCTAGACGTCTAAGCAAACAAGTGATCCATCATCCATGGCAGCTCCGAATAGGGTTCCCCAGTGAACTTTTCGCTCGCAGCCTCGCATAACGCACGCACATACTCCCCAAGCATGAACGGAACAAGCCTATGAAAAACTCGCCACATGTCGCATCCATCGGCCGATGTCTAAAAACGGCCAGGCCCTCATGTACCGCGACGTGCCAGCGCAAAGCGATTCCTCCCAATGCGCCAACCGAAAATAGCTACCAGCCCCGCGTATAAAACCCCCACCAGGAATCGCCTCTCCCCGTCACCACCGCCCAGCAGCAAGAACGCACGCGCACACAAACGTCAAAGCTCACAGTAGTCACAGGCACTAGCAACACACCAACCTTGCAATGGCCCGTGCTCTCGCGCTCGTCGTCATCCTCCTCGCCGCCGCGGCCGTGGCGCCCTTCGTCGACAGCGCCTCGAGCTCCTCCACGTCGAGCTCGGAGGCGCCAAGCGGGTCGGCGTCGGCGCCCAGCCCGGCCAGTGCTCCCGCGGACGCGCCAAGCGCCTCGAGCCCATCAGACGGTCCCAGCACGGCCGACGCATGAGAGGCGATGGCGCGAAATGATTCGTTGCGGCAGCAGTGAACAACTGAACACTGTCCTGATGTCCTCTATTCCTCCTTTTGTGTCGTCGGGTACAGTGAGTTATCAACAAGCATCGAATAGAGCTGGTGATACTTAACGCTACTGAAACCTTTTTGTTCTATCTGTTTTCTGAAAAAATAATGATGTTACCAGTGCATTTTGCATACAAAAATGTTAATTAACATACCATCGTACTATTATATATCTTTTTGTTGAATGTATGAACTTGTTCCCTGTGTTCTCTGATCATCACATGGTCCATACTTCATTTCACAGTTTCCATCAATAAAAAACTGACCAAAAGAACAGAAGGTGAGGCAGAGGCGCCCGCCTGAACTTCTCAGTTTGAACTTAAGGTGTTCATCACTATTCATCTAGTCAGATTTCACATTCGTATTTTCCAAACTGGAATATCTGAATTAGGATGTCAAAGCAATAGGTCTTGTATTCTTGTCCCGCTGTTGACTGAACATTTAATCAGAAAAAAAAACATATACCAAACTAACTTGCAAAGCAGAAGAGTCAGGGTGGGCGTTGAGCCTCCAGCCTCCTGATAATGGAATTGGTCACAGCCCAGTTGAAGCCCCGGTACTGAAGCCACCTCACAATGCGCGCACGGCGATTCTCCAGGGTCAAGCTTTGCCCGCGCTGCCACTGTTTGGATGCCTGAGCAAACAGATGATCCATGGAAGCTTCGGATATGCCAAACGTTGCCTCTTTTCCAAGGCCGTGACCATCCTGGAACACTCTTCTTGTTGCCTGATCTACTTCTGCCTCTGGCACACCCTTTTGGCGAAGTGCCTAATTTGAGAGCAGGTGATGTCAATTACAAAATATTTTATTTATGAATTTAACAGGGAGATGCAAAGCACAGAATCAAATAACAACGAGCAAAATCAGGCATCACAAATATACTATCCGAAGGAATGAGAATATAAAGTTCCTTTGCAAAGTAACTTTTCTTTTACCTCATTGGGAAAACTTTAGATATGGACATTATCAAATCTTACACTAGGAATTTCTGGAGACAGCTCAGGGGAATTCACCATTCACAGAACATGAAATTGGAAGGCATAAGAATATAAAGTTCCTTTGCAAAGTAACTTTTCTTTCACCTCTTTGGACAGCCTTTAGATATGGAGATTTATGGAGACAACTCAGGGGAATTCACCACCCACAGTCACAGAACATGAAACGGGTTTTTGTAATAAAGGAGGGCCACATGTGCCAACAGTTCATTCAGAACAACAGCAAGGGAGAGGAGAGAGAAAACAGAAAACACTGACCTGTTTTATTCGCCTTGGACCCCATGTTGATGATAGCCACCGGGATCGCGAAAATGATTCAGCATAAAAACCATCATTCAACAAACCCCTTCAGAAGTAAAATTCAAAGACATTAAAAATAATATGAGCACAGGCATAGCAAAACAAGTGATGTTCTTAGAACTAAATATTAATGTCTAATGCCTTGTTATATCAGCAACAGGTATTGGTTAGATCTAACACTAAAAATCTGGAAATACAAAATACAAATGCCCTCTACAAAATTTGGGGGCTTACGCTACACGGGTTGTAAAAATTGACAATGATAGTTCTACCACCTCTATTCCGTAAATGAAGAGTTGTAATTTTAATAGTGTGACCATAAGCAAAAAGAAACCAGTCTTACCTTGACTTGAAATTAGCGATCACAGCATCAATTGTATCAAAAGGATACTTCTTACTTCGTAGTTTCTTCCTAAGCTCAGAAACAGTGAAAGCTCTGCTCAGGACAAACAAGGCATATTTCAGTGTTCATTCTCAACAGTGACAACAAGATTAGGCCAAAAACAAGTAAAATCCAATGGCCTGAATGCATAGCACACAAAATTCCATTAGACTATGGATGCTAAGACAAAGCCATCATGTCAGAAATTGAGAAAATCCGTGGATTTCGCTGGCAGCAACAAGAAAAACATTCGCTTGGTTCAGACCAGTGGCGGAGGGAGGGGGGGGGGCGGCTGGCAGCCCCCAATGCTGTACTAGTCCCTCTACTATATAGTAAATATATGTATTAAATAGTTACTTAGCCCCTCCTAATTTAGCCCAAGCAATGACTGTGTTTGAGGCCCAGACGCCCAGTTGGCCACTTACGTACGTATACAGCCCATTTAGCTTTAGGCCTTTAGCCATCTCCGTCTGTTCAGCTCTCACGAACTGAATGCCAAACGTCGCTGTGGCCTGCTTGTCTCGCTGACTCCTCGCGACTCATCTGTTCATCTTCTTCGATTTTTGGCTTCGCGCTCCACAGTTCCACCTCCACGCCTCTCACCTCTGCGGCTCTGCTGCCTGCTCTATCCACTCGCTCAGACTTGGAGACTGCCGCAGTGCCGCTGCTGACCTGCCGATTAATTAGATCAGATAATATTGACTCCGCATCGCACAGGAGGTAAGGTGCTACTCCCTTCTCATCTTATCTAATCAATAATCCTTATCTAAATTTCCCCTTTTTGATCTTAGATAATATGAAGAAGAGACTCTTCATAGTTTTTTCAAGCCGGTTGGTTCAACTGCTAATTGTATTGAATCCATTAGAAGCCGAGGCTGCCAAGGTAACGTGGAAGGGGATGCTCCTAATGTGGAAGGGGAAACTCCTAATGATCATGTAGAGAATCCTAATAATCAGAGTAGTGCTCCCGTTGAGCCAATGGAAGCCGAGGTTGCCGAGCCTGAGCATGAACCAATTGTAGCTACTAGATTTGAGAGAGATCCTGGTAAATGTGTTCAAATATTGGAACTGCCAGCTGATCAACAAGACGAAGCTTGAAGATTTTATATTTCAGAGGGGCCATATCAACCAATATTGACAAAGTACCCACTCAGTGAATTAGCTCATCGTCGCCCATTTTAGAGCAGTTGGTTCAAGCAATTTCCTTGGCTAGAATATTCACCTCACACAAATCGTGCTTACTGTCTGCCATGTTTTTTATTTTCCAAGAAGCCAATTGGGAAATCAGGATCAGATGCATTCATAGTCAAGGGGTTTCAGAACTGGAAGAAAGTAAATGATGGAAATGAATGTTCTTTTCTAAAACACATGGGGGATGCTAGCTCAGCTCATAATTATTCAGTTGGGTGTTTTACTAATCTTAAGAACTCAATGGCTCAAATTGGCAATGTGATTCTTAAACAAAAAGAGAGAATGCTTGCAACAGGACGACTAAGGCTTGCGGCTACTATTGATTGCATTAGGTAATAAGAAAAAATTAACAAGTCTCTTTTTTATTTTTGCAACTAGAGTTATATGTGCTGGAGTATTTAATTTTAACTTGTTTTGTTTATATGCTTAGGTGGTTGACATTTCAAGGATGCCCCTTTAGAGGCCATGATGAATCTGTAAGTTCCTTAAATAGGGGTAATTTTCTTGAAATGGTCAAGCTTTTGGCTTTGTATAACAAGGAGGTTAATGAGGTTGTGCTAGAAAAGGCTCCCAAAAATGCAAAATACACTTCACCTGATGTCCAAAAGGAAATTCTTAGCATATTTGCTCGAAAAGTGCAGAAATCAATTAGAGAAGAAATTGGGAGTAGCAAGTTTTGCATAATGGTTGATGAAGCTCGAGATGAGTCCAAAAAAGAGCAAATGGCAATAGTCCTCCGATTTGTTAACAAGGAAGGATTTATAAAGGAGCGTTTCCTTGACCTAATCCATGTTAATGATACTACTGCTTTGACCCTTAAAGAGTCAATTTGTGCTGTCCTCTCAGCTAATGGCCTAAGTATACAAGATATAAGAGGACAAGGTTACGATGGGGCCAGTAATATGCGAGGGGAGTGGAATGGATTGAAAGCTCTAATTCTCAATGAGTGCCCGTATGCATATTATATTCATTGCATGGCTCATCAACTTCAGTTAGCCCTTGTAGCAGCATCAAGGGAGGTACATGAGGTACACAATTTTTTTCGGCATGCAAATTTCATCATAAATGTTGTTAGTGCTTCTCCTAAGCGCAATGATGAGTTGCTAGCAAATCAAGCCGAGGAAATTTCCCGTGAAATTGAATTGGGCGAGCTTGACACAGGGCGAGGGGCAAATCAGACATCCTCCCTACAAAGGCCAGGGGACACGAGATGGAGTTCCCACTACAGGTCTATTCTAAGCTTAAAGAAAATGTTTGGTGCCACAATTTCAGTCCTACGCAGCATTGCTAATGATCGTTCAGTTTCAAAGTATTCTCGCGGAGATGCCAGTGGTGCCTTATGAATCATTGTCACATTTGATTTTGTGTTTATTCTACTTCTAATGGAAAAGATTATGAAGATCACAGATGTGTTGTGTCAGACACTCCAAAAGAAGAACATTGATATCTTAAATGCGGTGGATTCTGTTTCTACCACAAAATTGTTGCTTGGTGAGTTGCCAAATAGTGGCTGGGAACCTCTTCTTGAGGAGATCAAACTGTTTTGTGGAAAGCACGAGATTGATATTCTGGATCTCAGTAAGAAGTATGTTTTTCCCCCAAATTATTTATTCTTTTATAAACTGTACTTGTTCATCAATTAATCCATGTCTTCCCATCTGTAGGTATGTTGATGTAACTAAATCTCAAAACAAGAATGACAACACCACAGCCTTTCACCATTACAAAGTAGATTTGTTTAATGTTGCAATTGATCAACAACTAGCAGAGTTAGAAGATCGATTCAGTTCTCAAGCAACGGAGCTTTTGTCCCTTTGTGCTTCTTTGGATCCTAGGCTGGACACATTTAACATAGCAAATATATGCACTCTGGTGGAAAAATATTATCCTGCAGATTTCTCCAGTCAAGAAAGAGCTCAATTGGAGAGTCAGCTGTCACATTTTCAAATTGATGTATGCAACCATCTAGAACTAAACGAATTATCAACACTTGCTGATCTAACAGGTGGACTATTTAAAACAGGTAAATATTCATCTTATCCTATGGTGGACAGGTTGTTAAGATTAGTATTAACTCTTCCAGTATCAATTGCAACCACCGAAAGATGTTTTTCAGCTATGAAACTTGCGAAGACACGTCTTAGATGTACAATGGGAGATGGATTTTTGCGAGATTGTTTGGTAATTTATATTGAGAAGGAATTGGCTGCATCAATTAGTACCGATGAAATTATTGAAGCCTATGATCTTGCTGCTAGTCGTAGAGCTAAATTTAAGTTGATAGAAATGTAATTTTGTTTTGGTTAAGACTTGTGAAACATGCTACTATTATATATGATTAAAACCATATGGCATGGCTATCAGTTCTACTTTGCTTTGTTCATTGCCCCCACTATCCTCAAATCCTGGCTCCGCCCCTGGTTAAGACTTCAGACAAGTGCATTTGTTTGTGTGATCAGCAGACTGTTCATTTATGCTCGATACTCAGTTCATACTACAGAGTGAAATAGAACAAAAACATTCAGTACAAACATGTTGCTACCGACAGAGTTTCAGGAAAATCCCATAAACATCTATAGGTGGGAATCATTCATCGGTTCTCACCTGGCAGCAAGCAATTCAATTGCAGCCTTCTCCACATCTCGCACCAAGCTTTCGCTAATTTCGCACACCACGTCGTCACTCTCCTCCTCTTCGAAAGAAAAATGCACAGACTCTTTGGCAGAGTTCTTTCCAATGGGCTCTAGGTCTAGGGCCCTGCCATTGGCATCCTTGCAATGGCCGAGCAGTTCATCTGGAATCGGCACAGCCTTATCCCTCGCTGCCCGGCAAGCGGCAAGAAGCCAACAACCAAATCAGCTAAATTAAACCAAAATGGTCTAGAGAGCACCAAATTGAAGACCACTTCTGTAGCATCATAAACGCCTCACCTGCATTCCCCTCTTCGAAAGCACCTTGCCGGCAGGTCACAAGCTTCCGGCGCGGAGGCTCGCGCCAGCAACGAGCCATCCCATCTGCCCTGCAAAAGAAGCGAAAGTTTGTGAATTTGGGGGCAGAGAAATCAGTAGGAGTTGGGCGGCGGCGTGGGGTCAGGGTAGAGAGGTACCGCGACGGGGAGAGGAGGGTAAGCGCACGGGACCGCAGGCATAGCTCCAGCCCCGGCAGAAGATGGAGGAGGCGGCGGCCCGCCGCCATGGCCGACATCCCAAGCGGCTAGTAGCGTGACGGCAGCACCACTGCGGCAGTTTTCTTTGCCACTTTTACAGTTCGGCCCTTTAAGGTTGTAGCTCGTTTTACTCTTGGGAAACTTGTGTTGAAGATTAAACCCGGCTTAGATCCGCTTTTTTTTTTATCCAGAACAGTGTTTTTCTCTCACAGATTTCTTCAGAATTCCTCCGAATCATCTAAATTCCTCCAGAACCATACCATCCAAACGGGGCCTAAGAAAACAAGAGTAACCATTTGAGTACTCAAATTGTGTTGCAAAATGTGTCTAGTTTTATATGTAATTTTAACTATATATTTATAGAAAATACGCCAACAACTATAACATCAAGCTAATATATCTTTGTTGAGCGTTTACTCTTCTTATAGGAATATTTTCTATAAATTTGATTAAAATTTGAAAAGTTACATTATAAAAATACTAAGACGCCTTTACAGTTCGGCCCTTTAAGGTTGTAGCTCGTTTTGTTTATTTTGTCCAAAAGATGACTAGTCTAATGGATAAAAAGGCCCATGGCAATTGAACGTGCTTAAGAGTGCTAGTATAATTTGGATTTGAAAAACAAAAGTAGCCAATGAAACTTGCAATATGGTAGAAACAAGTCTTGTATTTTTGTTTATTTCTTTTGTAATATTGTCCGGAGCATATCGGTTGCATATTCATGCACTCAATATACACTTATGTACGCCTAGACATATTGGATCTGTATATGTTAATATTGTTGAAGTCGCTACAGATCTCACTATCGAATATTGACTGAAAAAATATCAGACACATGTAACACTAAACATAGGGCTTTTTGTCTTGGTTACTAGTGAGCAGGGTGGAACCATTACGGTTAACCACCTATGCCAATGTTCGCTTTCTCCTTTCTAGTTCGTATTTCAAGTTTGCTTTTGAATCAGGTCATGATCCTAGCATCCTTATGCTTTCTTTGCAAATTATAAATATCATGTTAAACCTTGTAACTTCGAATCTTTCAATGGAACTTAGCCGAGTGTAAGTTTTGACTTGATGCTATGCTGGCATTTATGACTGATTGTTGTTTTAGTGGCACAATAATCCTACATGTATTTGTGGACATGAGGATCGTGTCTATTCCATGAAAAAAAAAACTCACAAAAGGCTTGGATTGAAAGAACGCCTTTTGGCTCCTACTCTAAAACTACAATAGTATATTGTAACAAAGCCGGAGTAACCTAAAGCTCAATTTCATCACCTCTTTTAGTTTTTTTCGGGTTTTTTTTATCTATTTCATCCACTATATAGTACTCCCTATATTCTTCCTCCATTTTATTCAAATATGAGACATTATGATTTGTTTGTATACATAGTTTTTTCTATACACTTAATATACATTGGCAATGTTCTGCAACACTACTCTAGCAGTACTTTTCAGCTGAACGAACAATATTTTCTCTCTCACAACAAATTAGCATAAGCCAAATTTCAACGAAACAAACAGGGCAATTACGTCTAAATACATAGAAAACTAATGTATATAGGAAAACTAAAATATCTTATAATTTGGAATGAATGGAGTATAAATTATAAGATGCTTTAACATTTTCAGATTCATAGTTTTTACTATGTATTTAGATATATATTATGTATAGATACATAATGAAAAATATATATATCTTAAAAGTCAAAATATTTTATAATAATTTGTAACCGATGGAGTACTAGCCTACACGAAAGCAAATAGAGGAGCCGTGTCTCCGTAGAGCGGCACCAGACGAGGCCAAAGTTTTACAGGAGGTCCATGTGCACCAAAAGCGTGCCATCCCAACACATCTCATCAAACTGTGACCGATCAGGGCAATGATTTTTCACCCCTTTTCTACCGCAAAAGAAACCCAGAAAAGCACCGAAAGGCGAACCCCCTGTGCGCGTCCCGCGTAAGCATCACGCGAGTCGTCGGCGCCCGCGGATCCGCGATCGGACGGCCCACGTCCGCCCGTCACCCTATAAAACGACCCCACGGGCACCCCGTAGCCAAATCCCCCGACTCCTCGCTTCCTCCCGTTTGTGGCCCGAGCCCCCGCGACACGCCGTCGCCGTCGCCGCTGCGCGCCTCGGAGAAGAGAGGGAGGCGGCCGCTGCACCGAACCCGCGCCACCCCGCCTGATCTCCCCCGGCACCGATCGGTACGGCCCCTCCCTTGATTCGATCGGCTCGATCTGTGGAGCCCTAACCTAGGTTCGATTTGATCTGTGGATTTTGGGGATTTTGTTTAGGGTTTGATCGATGGCGTCGAAGAGGATCCTGAAGGAGTTGAAGGACCTGCAGAAGGACCCGCCCACCTCCTGCAGCGCAGGTGATTTGCTCTCTAGCTCTGTGGTTTGTGTCCAGATCTTGCGGAATTGTGTTGCGATTGCGATTGTGATGTACGCGTCGTCCGTATGTGTTAGATTGGTGTTTGTTTCCTTGGCTCGTGATTGATGCAGTTAGAGCTCTGGTTACCTGTATTGGTCGCATGTGATTATTTTGCCGAGAACCCTGGTTTGGTTATTTTATTATACTTGTTTTAAAATTCCGTGTGGTTGATTCTGCACTTCTTGGCTGTGCTTACATGTTCCGTAAGCTCTTAGAGGTTATGATATCGGTGTTTCCTTTCTTAGCTGTACACGTGAGATGTGAAGTCAATTAGACTCGAAAGCTGGTGGAGATATTGTCAGTTCATCAGTCGTTACATGATATGTTGTCTGAGTACAGTTAAACCACTGAGTTATTGTATAGTAGAATCAATCGTCAGTTAACTTAAACACAAGGGGTCTTACCATGACATGATTTGTCAGCAAGGATGTCTGTCAAGGTTGTGCTGTATTCTGCATTTGTTTTATTCATGTATAGCTTTGCAGGCATACTGATGTTCTTTGTTTAGTCTGATATGGCTATTGCATATGTGATGGCTTCTACTGTTGAGATGTTTGCTCCATCTGTTCCAATCATATTCTCTTGTTTGGGTGTGGAACCTGTGCATTTTGGATCAGAAGACCAGTCCAGTTGGAAACCCTCCCCCAACCCCTCACCACCACCACCATTGAGTCACAATTTGTTTTACTTTTGTAGTCACCCGCCTGCGCGTAGAGCTGCACTAACTGTTCTTATTGTCAGGTCCTGTTGGTGAGGACATGTTCCATTGGCAAGCTACCATCATGGGGCCCTCGGACAGCCCATTTGCAGGTGGGGTATTCTTGGTGAACATTCACTTCCCACCAGATTATCCTTTCAAGCCACCAAAGGTAATTTCTCTAAATTCTGGTTTCTAATGCCAGCTCTACCTGTATATTATGATTCCTAGAGCTGCAATTGTGCATCCTCAATCAACATATCATTTGGCAACTATTAAATCAGTTAAAGTGATCTGATGTTCAAATGATATGCTTATTTGCAGGTGTCTTTTCGCACCAAGGTTTTCCACCCGAACATTAACAGCAATGGCAGCATTTGCCTTGACATCCTTAAGGAACAGTGGAGCCCTGCTTTAACCATATCAAAGGTAAATTGCCTACATTGTGTATGTTGTGAGTTTTAGGGCCTGTTTGGCTGCACACTGACCCACCCCAATCCACATGGTTGGGAGGAATTGAGGCCTTTTTTGCTCTCACCTTAACAAATATGAATTGAGATGCAAGTACTGAGGTGGGTTGATTGGATTGTAACCAAAGGCCCTTGACATTTTTGGGTCCAATTTTCTATTACTTCATGAGGCATTGTAGTTGGCTAATGAGATGTTGGCTATGTTTCGTGAGAATAGTATATTCAAGATATTTCTGACTGTTACTGATCTGTTAGTTCTGTTCTGTTCTGTCTTAACAGGTTCTCCTGTCAATCTGTTCGCTGCTCACGGACCCGAACCCTGATGATCCTCTTGTCCCTGAGATTGCTCACATGTACAAGACTGACAGGGCCAAGTATGAGTCCACTGCGCGCTCCTGGACGCAGAAGTATGCCATGGGCTAGAAGTGTGGCTACAAGCTGGCCAAACTGGTGAATGTGCCGACCTCCAAAATCGCTATCACCTAAATAACCAGTCAAGTCACTCCGTCCCAGCAAGTATGAATGGACTTTTGAGGGCAATTGTGTCCAGTTGAACTCATGTATTACCTTGTGAAGTCCGTTGTGTCTGGTAGTCTGTTCTACCTGACCGTTCCGTTATCTGATGTTGCTTCGTTAATCATATTTCTATATGGTTCGTGGTGTCCGTTGGTGTTTCTTTAATCTGTCTGCTGCTTCATTCTGGATGAAAGAACCAGTTGACGTCCTAGTGAGCGTAGGGGTTATAAAAATTGGTAATTCAGTGGGCAAGTCACAACCTAGTCAGTTCTCCAAATTTAGCCCAAAGTTGACGAGATGCTTTACTATCCTTGTTATTATCCTTGGCGATAGAGTTTTGATTTGATTCCTAAGCTAGCGAGGCTCCTCTTTAAGAAAGTATCATCAATTACTTCAAGCTTAGCACATAGCAGGGTTATAAGAGCAATTTTCTTTATTTCTTTATTTCCTAGTTATAGGAATATGCTGAAGGACGGGCCTGGTTTAAGCGTCTGTGACCGGAAGGTCTTAGCTTCGAGTCGCGGTCTCCTCGCATTGTACAGGTGAGGGTAAAGCTTGCACAGAATGGGAGCTCTCTGCATTGGGTATGCCTCAAGTTATAGGAATATGCTACAGTCTCTTTTAAGGGCTCGTTTGGCAGCGGCCGGGACCAGGTTTCTATCCTGACCACAATACTCCAGGTTTTGATATGGACGGTTCCGGCCCGTTCCGAAATAAACGAACGGGGCCTAAATGGAGTATTAATCAGCGAGAATGGCTTTCAACATATAGAAAAACTTTTGTATAGAAAAATTATTGGAGGGTACGAAGTTAAAATTTTACAGACTCTTGAAGAACTCAGGTGCTCTAAAGTTAGTCATCACTGTGAGAAGTTGCTTTTAGCTTAGCATGTGGCAGAAGAATTCAAGTTGCAATTATGCTTTAAAGTTGTCATCACTGTGTAAGAAGTTGCTTTTAGCTTAGCATATGGCAGAAGAAAAGTTGCAATTACTTTTAACCTCGGGTGGAACAGCCGAACAGGTTTGAGGGGGTTATAGGCTTATTATAGTTAACTTCGATGGAGTATGAATTCAGCAATATGACAGGGAGTGAACCCTGTATATAAGGGCACTAACCAAGATATGAATAGATGTAATTGATGGATAGATGGATGATAGAAGAAAACACTGATTGAATAAAATTTCATTTTGAAGGAAAGAGCTATTGAAAATATGTAGCCTCATAGTTTCCGAATTGGAACTGCCTTAATATCAAGTTTATAGAGAGTATTAATATCAACCACAAAGAGGTACATTATTATGAAATTATACATATACATTACAATGATGTCATAAATATTCTTCTCCTTTTCTATAAGCTTGATCAAAGTTAGAATAGTTTTGACATAGAAGAAATTTGGATTCTTTGTATTTCAAAACGGAGGGTGTATTCAGCCTTCCCCAAGACCCCAACCCCACCTAGAACTGACTGCAAGCTCCAACCATTACCAAATCGATGAACAACATGCATCACAGTTGCATCAGCAATAAAAAAATATCATCACATTTACAAAATGTTTTACAACATTTAGAACTGTACCAAACTTCATGAGACATAACTATAAACAGAGACTATCTTTCCGCTGAACATCGAGACAATTCCTGCGCTTTTGCTGACATCCTATAACCACAATGAACTTACCAAAACATCCTATAACAACAATACCGAATGATACATTTGTTCATAATCCATATATACATGATGTGGGCGTGAATGCTCATTTTTTTTATATACTGGTGGAGGCTCCGTGGAGCATGGACTGGATGTCGTGTACCATACTTCGATGCGTGGAGGAACTCCATGTTTTATGTTTCTTTTTACTCGCGACTTGTGTCTGAAATTTTTATTACCAGGAATTCATAAACAATGGACCATTCCGCCGTGTCTTCTGGCGGAATTGTTTCTTCTTTACACACCATGCCTCAGTGAAAGTACTCACCTAAAGTTAAAGCAGCCATCAGCGAGTGAAATTAACATGAATGTTGAAATTGAATTTAACACAGAAAAGATCAAGGTTCCATGTCCTTACATTGCTAATCATCTTTGCAGCAAACCAGGCAGAATCAGTGCCAAATGAAGGGCGGAGTACTCTTATTCCCTCTGAGATATAAGGTGGAAGAAGTTGGTGAAGCTCTTTCTCCAGCCTCTCTGTTGTATTACATGATATTCGTCAGAGTCACCGAAATAAATAAGATCTAGAATAATTAGCATTAGCCATTATTATTCCACTTTCTTTTTGATACCAAATAATATCTAAAGAGTATATCAGCCCTAATATGCATAGGAAAAATACCTGGTAAACCAGGCAAGCATGACGATCAACCAGCTAAAATGACCGTCTTGTACCAGCTGTCATCACCAACCGTTCCTGAAGTATAGCAGTGATCCATACATAGAGCTACTGCTTTATGCAAGCCCATAGCACGCCTGCAAGTGCAAGATCAATATTGAGCAACCATAACTAAACTGTTATGAAAGCACAAATCAAGCAATATCTGAATATTCCGTACATTCCTCCCATATGGGGCTGAAATAGAATTTCTGGAGTCTTGAATCTCTCTTCTGACAGAGTGAACCACCCTTCACCATCAACCTCGCAGGACGCTTGTGTATCTTTACGTAATTCAGCTTCATAATCAGCGGCTACGTAGCAAAGTTTCTTTACATGAGAGAGAAAGAGAGGCAGAGTCAGAAGCCAGAAGATAAGCTTCATTCTAAATACAATTAGCTTGTCTGTAGATATTAGTGAGATTCTTAAAAGAAATGTCTGTACTCCAAACAACTTTAGCATTGCAGCATAAACAAATTTTACCTCCTTGATGGCTCGAACAGTCTACAGTGACTCACAGGATATATTTCTCCGCTGCATTAACTCCTTGAGAAATCCAGTGAGTTTAAGGGCACCTTGCCCCACAGTTTCAACACCTATCTCATACATCACCCTACCTTGAAAGACTGTTGAAAACATATTAATATATGAGTTAAATACATGAGAGACCCTTGAACATGTAACGGGTGTCACTTAGGTCCATGAACTTGGAAAATGCATTTCTGGATACCTAAACTTGCTAAATGATACACCGCAGGTCCATACTTGCCACGTGGATATTTTATCTGACATGGCAACGCCACGTGGCCGAAAAAATGCAATGAACACCCTAAAATCTAAGGAGCTGGACGTGTATGCATGTGTTGGACGAAGCAGGGCGGCGAGGAAGCAGGGGAAGCAAGAAGCGCTTCATCCCGCCTCGGCCATGGCCACACGCACGAGCTGCTGCCCGCCCTGCCTCGCCTCGTCCCAAGACCGTGCGCCGTCATCACCCCGCGCAAGTGGGCGCCCTCGCCGTGCCCTAGAGCCAGCCCGAGTCCCATCTGTGCCTCAGTCAAGCTTGCCATGGCCGGCTATTTAAGCAGAGCACGCACGCGCCGCAACCACCTTTGCGCCCTTTCAAAATTCGTCCACACCATTGCCTCCCATTCCAATCCCTCGCAGCCATGAGTGCGCCTGGTTGTTAGCTAGCCCCTGGACGAGACCTCATTGCAAACCATCTTCAATAAGTGACGAATTTTGGAATCTCGTGGAATCGGCCGCCATGGCCGCCGGAGCTGAAGCTCTGCTGTGGCGCCAATTCTTTTCCTCTCTGTTCTATCCAAGACGTGTTTAGCATCGCCTTAACGCCCCCTACATGACCTTTGTACAGTTTGGCCGGTCTCCTTGCCGTCTTGTGGTCAGTCGTCTCCAACCCAGCGACGAGATCCCCCTCATGTGACCTCGACGCCCTGCCGCACGTCGCTGGAGTTCCCCGTGTTCCCCACCAACGCCGGCCTGGCCACACCCCCGCCACCCGTCGCCAGCACTAGCGCCGCCGCCGCGAGCTCCTCGGCCTCCGGGCGCAGGAAGGAGAATCTGGTAATCGACATCTCGATGCAGCCCATGGCCCTGAGCACGCCGCCCATGAACTCCCCGCTGCCGGCGAGCCGGATGCCCGGGGCCATCGACGGGATGTGGTCCCCGGTCTCAGCCAGGCTGCGGTCGCTGCACCGGCTGCTGAGCAGAGGCAAGTAGGCCGTGGTCGGCACCTCCTACAGCCCGCGCGACGCCGGTGACATCGAGCAGGGGCTCGCCGGAGCCGAGTCATCCCGCCCGCCCAAGACGCCGAAGATGCCTCCGTCGGCGAACTGATCCAGATCCCCAAACATGGCTCGACTTTGGAGGTGAAGGCGAGGTCACGGGCAAGTGGCGACGTGGCCAGGGGCGAGTGTGGCATGTACAACGCTTGGCAAGGCGCAGCAGAGGCGAGGTGGGCAACGCGTGACGCGCTCTGCGCCATTGCGCCGAACGGTGGCGTGCGTGACCTGGCGAGGGAAGAACCCAGATGCCCTCTTTGGATATTCCATTTAGATTTCAGGGGGTTCACTGCATATTTTCCCGCCACGTGGCAATGCCACGTCAGATAAAATGCCCGCGTGGCAAGTATGGACCTGTGGTGTATCATCTAGCAAGTTTAGATATCCAGAAATACATTTTTCAAGTCCATGGATCTAAGTGACACCCCGTTATAAGTTCAAGGGTCTCTCATGCATTTAACTCTTAATATATTATCAGATGGTGAAATGTAAATGGCATTGATATGTGCAGCTGAAAGACGCAGACACCAAACAGCACGACTAATGTTCCACAAACTCACAAGAACACACAGTAAATACTTGAAAAACCTTAATAATATAGATATGGACAATTACTTACTGGGAACAACAGAAGTTGTATTGAATCCAATGTGCACAACAATACCAGAGGTCCGTTTAGAAGCAACAAAGATAGAACTGCCTGGAAACCAAATGCCAGTGAGCTCATTGCTCATGAAAGTGTACTCAAAAATAGTTTGTAAATATGTCGTGTTAATGAAGGACATACAAAGTGTGAAGAATTGAACATCAAACAATATTTGACACTTGGCCATGAAGAAACATGGCATGTCTACATTAAGATGTGATACTGAATACACTATTTAAACACGAAGCTCTCAGTTGGATAGCTCAAGCTTTGACTAAAACTCATGGTTCTGATGTGGTGCAATAACACGAATTCACGAAAGCGAAATCATTAGGACAAAAGTGTTTCAGGAAAGGAACAATGACTGATTAAATAGAAAACATGAGGTAGGGGAATCCTGTTGGTTTAACTAGTAATCAAATAATGCAATAATGCATACTTGATCGACAGCACAAACAGTAGGAACATTCATGTCAAACAAGACAGAGTACAACGTCTCCTTGTATTGCTTTCTTGAGGCCCTAGCAGACTCGGTATCTGTGACAAATAGAAAGTTCAGTCAAGTAACATGGTCAAAATGCAGGACGGTAAACTAGGGAGTTGGGTCAAGTAAGAATGCAATAACTCAAACCATCAGAGTGACACAGTGGAAGGACAACAATAACTGGCTGAGTCGAAGGCTTTATTTGCATCCTGTAAAAGTCAAGAATAGGATGTATAATACAATGAAAAAGAGCAAACAATTTACACTAAACATCACAACAGATGGTCCATCAGGTAAAAATAAGTCCTTAATAAACCTCAACAATGTTTTCAAGTCGTCAATCGCGATTAATCGTCCTAATCGCCCCTGCTGACTGATTAGGGGTACCGTCGACTTGTACAAGTCGTCCAATTAATCGCGATTAATCGTGATTAATCGTTCTAGTCGGTCCCATGGCGACTAGGTTCGACTGGATGACTTGAAAACATTGAACCTCAAGGCTCAAGCTCCAGTCGACTTCAAACCAAAACAGAGGCGAAAAAAATAAACTAAAGTAAACTTTTCATCTTTCATTTGTCAGCTTTTTTTGGGTAAGAGACTACAATAAACAGCAATCTTCGAATATACTAGAATTTTGTGTTGAATACATTTCTGTATATCCCAATAGGGCAAAGGATGCTGGAACACCAGAGTGTCACCCATAGAATTTTTCTATCGTAGATAATTGAAAATATAAAGCATTATGAAAGAACTATCTCCTAGCATGTGAAATCAACAGCAAGCATGCAAGCTGAAATATAAATGAGCACACATCGTAGAATAGCAATGGACATTCATGCTGACGTGAAAAGCTAGAGATGTTGAATCGTTTAGACAGTACACAGCTTAATCAGCCTAAGTTTTCATAGACATAGCAAAAGGTGCTCGATATGAATTCACCCAATGTGGCAATGCCCACTAGTATCGTTGATAAAATTCCCTTTTAACACACAAAAAGGACATACTGGACAAATTTGCTGTACTAACCAAGGAAAACCATGGTACTGTGGAAGCGAGATGTAATTTCAAACCTCATATAGATTGTAGAGAAGAAGTGACGAAGCCTTGCATACATAGGTGCTTCAATGTTACCAAATTCCTGCATGATAATCACAACAGGCACAGAAATTAGCAACATCTCTTTGTGCTCTGATGATTCAGTTAACACCAATCTTGAAATAGTAAGTTAGCATTGGTCATCACAATATTCATGGGCATCATGTGCCTTTAAGATGTGACCCTTGCCACCGATCACCACAGCTTACCAAGAATGTAGCACAACGCCCAGAAGGAGCAGCGTACTTGCTCCAGCCATACTTGCAATACCCAGATCCACCTTCAATAAAAGAAACAGAGAGGACACACCAAGAACTGAGGTTACAGCAGCAGACAAAGAATAAAAAGAAGAAAAGTAGCATTCCATAGCACATGTAAAGAGTTAAAATTTGATCGTAGTACTATGGCAATCTTTTACAGATATAAAATGTAGAGTATTCTAGTACAGTAAGCTTTCCTAGTAACTGAAGGTGTACAGAGAGAACTACCATCCATTTTGTTATGCAGAAATACTTAGTCAATTAGGCAACAATCCAAACATCAAAGGTTTACTTCATTCAATAGTTTCTCGAATATTTGTTTTGATTGAGCAAGCGCTGGGCATCTAATCGAAAGTAAAATTGGACATGTCAGGAGTATGCTTATCTCTTACCATCCACTATGAGAGTACCCGGGACCACCGCTCGGAGACCGTAAATCTGCTTAAACGAGAGCTGCGGCGAGCTGTCGTAGACTCGTAGTACAGCCTACAAAATGTCAAGCGATATCAGGCACAACACCGAGCGCAGCCGGGGCAGAATTAAGCACTGCGACGAGAAGGTAGAGCGAGTGGCGCGAACGGCACGCACGCACCACGGGTGAGAGGAGGGGCCGGCGGCGAGGTGCGTCTCGGCGAAGACAACGAGGTCCCAGGGCTCGGGGCCGAGGCGGAGGAAGAAGGCCCAGAGGCCGTTGTCGGAGGCGAGGACGCGCCAGGCGCGGCAGACGGCGCTGGAGGGCGCGGCGTCGAGCGGGCCCATCAGGCGCAGGATCTGGGCGAGCACGTCGGTGGGGACGGCGTCGAGCGCGCCCAGCGACAGCGAGCCGTGGTACTGGTACTGGAACTGCTCCGCGCGCTGCGCATGCGCGCGGCGGGCCCGCGGGGACCCCGGCGGCGGCTCGGCACCCGGCGCCGCGGCGCGCGGGCCAGCACGGAGCCCCACACCTTGCGGAGCAGCATCGCCATGCGAGCGCTGGGCTGGGCTGGGTCGGTCGAGGGAGCGAGGTGGATGGGGTCGGTCGGTGATCGCCGCGCGGACAGTGGCGTGCGGGGTGGTCGGTGGCGGGCGCGCAACATATGCGCGAACACGGCCGGCCGAGACGAGGGAATGGGAGGAAGCGGAAGCCACCAGATGCTTTCGGCACGGACGGCCATGGCCATGCAGCCCGAGCCCGTCGGCCCGGCCCAAGGCCCCCTTTTTTTTACACTGGACCAAGCACGGCCCGACCCGATGGCTAACGGGCCCGAGCTGGCCCAGCACGGAGGAGCAGGCCGTGCCTAGGCCTTACCCCAGGCACATGGGCCGGCACGGCACGGCCTGCTACAGAACAGGTGGCCCGCTAGCGGCTCGGCCTGCCGCCTCCCCGCGCCCCCCCCTCCTGCGCCCCACATATATAAGCGGGGAGTCTCTGGTTGCCTTGCCCAGTCGCCTCGCCTCGCTCGCTCCATGATCCGGTCGCCTCATTGCCGCTCGCTCGCTCTCTCTCAACCCTAACCCTAATCCTCACTCGCTTCGTCGTGGGCTCACCGATCCCGCGCCGCCCGCCGCCTCGCCGGCCCGGCTCCATGATCCGCTCCCAACCCTAACCCTAATCCCCACTCGCTCGCCAGCTCACCGCGGCGCAATCTGTGCTCTCTCTCGCCCGCATCGGCCGCATCCACGATCTGGCGAATATGAGCTATCTCTCGTGATCTACTAATCTCGTCCGTCGTCCCCAACCCCGGTGACCTCGATCCGCCTATCTGACCCTGTCTCCACTCTCCTCTCTCCTCCCTTCTCCCGCTCTCCTCTCTCTCTCGGTGAACTATGTGAGTTCGTGACCGTGCTCCCGTCAGTCCCTCATCCGTCGTTCGCCGTTGTTTCTAATCGGTGTCTCTCCTCTGGGTGGCCCTCGTCATCTACGGCACCGGGCTCCGGTTGCGCAGGTACTCCACTAACCCTAACCCTAGATTTGTCTTCTCTACTTCTTGTGTCTCTTTCTCTTCCACTGAACGACTGACTCTGGATCTGTATCTCTACCTCTCTGACTCTCTGTTTTCTCCTCCATGCAGGTCAGTTGTTGATGCCTCGTCGTCCTCTTCCTGTGGCATAGACCAGGCACGGTAGCCGCGCGCACCGTTGAGGAACGGTGCTGGAGATCAGTCGTCCGCGGTCAAGGTCGGCATGGCGGATGACGATGATGTCGTCTATCCACTCACCAGCAACGATGACCTGATCGCGGCAGGGCTGGTCCCCGAGGACGATGACGACATCCGTGACGACGCTGCTGCATTGTTGGGTATCGATGTCGGTAGCGGCTCTGCTCCGATCAATCTGGACGGTGGTGGAGGGGCGGAGCCGACGCCGTCGGTGACGGCGACAGGGACGTCGGTCGGCTCCAACAACACAGATGGTACCTCATGCCTTGGTAAGCATAAATTTGATGTCTGGATTGATTTTGATGAGATCTATGAGACTGTGAATGGTCAAAAGGTTCGAACTGCTGCTATCTGTAAAATGTGTAAGAGTAAATTGTCTACTAAATCTTCTGCTGGCACTGGCCATTTGATTAGACACCAGAAATTTTGTAGGAAAAAGGCGGATCACGCTGCTAGGGTTTAATCTAGGCTTTCTTTCAATCCTAATGGATCTGTGCATAACTGAGACTACAATCCTGCTGTTGCTCGCTCTGAGTTGTGTTGATTGATTGCTAGGCTTGACCTTCCATTAGGTATAGGTGAGTCACAGGCATGGGAGAATTACATTGTTCTTGCTCATAACCCTAGGTTTGCTAAGGTTTCTAGACAGACCACCACTAGAGATCTTGGTAAGCTGTTTACTTAACGCCGTGATAAACTTAAGAATTTTGTGTTGTCTGCTGCTTCTTTTGTTGCTTTGACTTCAGACATTTGGTCTGGTAATACTAAGGAGGACTATATTAGTGTTGTTGCTCACTATGTGAATGCTGATTGGGAGTTACAAAAAAGGGTTATTGGTCTTAGGTTGTTTGAGGTTAAACATTCTGGTGAAAACATTACTGAAAGAATTACTGCTGTGGTTGAGGAGTATTGTCTGATTGACAAGATTTTTCCTGTCACTCTAGACAATGTTTCTTCTAATGCTAAGGCTATGAACAATTTGACACCTCTATTTGCTAGTTACTTGGGTCCTAATCCTTCACCTGATTCTTTGTATCCTAGTAACCATAAGTACGGTCTTGTACATCGATGTTGTGCTTGTCATATCATTAATCTCATTGTAAAATCTAGATTAAAGAGGTTGAAATCTTACACAGAAGATTTTAGAACTGCAATTAACTTCTTAAATTCCTCTAATCAAAGAATTGCATTGTTAAGGAATACTGTAATGCTAAGGGTGTTAGACCTATAAAGTTTGGCTTGGATATGGATGTTAGATGGAATTCTACTTACCTGATGCTTAAACACTTGGTTCCATATAAGAATATCTTTTCTGTGTTCATTAATTTTCATTATGATTCACAATTGTTGACTACAAATCATTGGTATTTTGCTGAGAAGTTATTGGAGTTCCTGGAACCCTTTTATGACTCCATTGTTGTTCTGTCTGGTGTTTATTATCCTATAAGTCCACTTGTTCTGCACCATATCCTAGATATTGCTTCTCATTTGCATGCATGTGAAAAAGATCATAATCTAAGAGCTGTTGTATATTCTATGAAGCTTAAGTTCCTTAAATATTGGCAGGACATACCTCTGTTATATTCATATGCATTCATTCTTAATCCTAGAGCTAAGATGAGAGATTTCTTTAATGTGCTGCACTTACTTGGTGAATACACTAGTTCTGAGTACAGTTCATACTATGCTGATATCAAAACTAAATTGTATAAACTATTTAACAAATATGAGAGCAAGTTTGGTGCAGCTAGGTCTCAAAGGGTTGCACAACCATCACATCATACAGGTAAAAAAAGCAGGTATGGGGAAGAATCTTTGGCCGTGGACCAGGTGTTGTTGGTCCTTCCCCTCTCCCTGCCACTTCATCTTCATCTACTTCTGCTGTTTGGGAGCTCGCAGCTTACTTAGACAGTGACAATGTCACTTCTTATGAGGATGATTTTGACCTACTTCTGTGGTGGCATGACCACAAGCTAACATTTTCAATTCTGTCTATAATGGCTAGAGATATCATATTAGTTCCTGTATCTATTGTCTCTTCGAAGTCTTATTTCAATTTGACAGGTAGGATAATTAAGGAACGACGGCAACGCTTGTCACCAGAGACTGTGGAGATGCTGACCTGCTTAAAGGACTGAGAGTTAGGAGAAAAAAAAGAAACAACATGCCGTTGACAACCAAGAGCTTGAAGACTCATTTCAGAACTTGTACCTTGATGAAGATGGACCTGCTAGTGGTGCTCCTGGTACTTAGTGAGGTACTGAGGTTGAGACTTGACTTCTGAGGGTGTGTGTGATTTGTGACTGTGAAAGGGTGTGTGTGTGACTATGAAAGACTTGTCTATCATTTGAACAATGGTTAATTAAGAGCTGGATGCACTATTTTTTCTTTTCTAGGGTTTCTCACAAGGATGAGTTTTATCTAGAAAGGTTTTTAATGAGGCAACGTTGCACTAAATAGCTCATTTTGGTTATTTTTGTTATCTGTCGGCTTTGGAGTTCGGAGTTTGATATCTCTGTTGGACTGTGAATGTATCAATCTATCGGACATTTAGACTTTGATTCTGTGAATGTATGAAACTGTGATCTGTGAATGTATCGGACATTTGGACTTCGATTATGTGAATGTATAGGACATTTGGAGTTTTGGACTTTGATTATGTGAATGTATGAAACTGTGATCTGCGAATGTATGAATTATGAAACTTTGATTCTGTGAATGTATGAAACTGTGATCTGTGACTATGAATGTATTGGACATTCTGTGAATGTGAAACTGTGATATGTTTGTGAATGCAAGGGTAACGGGCCATAGGCTGGCATGACCCGTGATTCTGGTCATGCTTTGCGGGCCGGCCCGGCACGGAAATCGGCCCATAGGGCCGTGCCTGGGCCGAAGGCCAGACCCGTGGCCCTGTGAGGCACGGCGTGTTGTGCCGGCCCGTTGGCTATCGGGCCATGCTGGCACGGGACCGTGCCGGGCCAGGCTGGGCCGGCCCGTTGGCCATCTATACGGACGGCCGGGAGCGAGGATGGCAGAGGGAAGGGGAGGCGAACGGAGTCAGGATAATCGTCGCGTCGCGTCACGTGCGTTGGCGTGCGGCTCACGCGCCACTTGACGTGGCCGAGGGCGCCTGGCAGCAGTGGCACTGGTCTGGCCGGTGAGCTGCTGTGCTACCGGCCGGACTGCTGGTGGTAGCCTCCTGGTACACTCGGCTCGGGTCACTGGCTACTGGGACCGGTGCTTGGGTTCCCAGTCGAAATGGACATCATTTCCGTGGTCCACTAGGAATCGGACGCCTAACAAATGGGGCAGCAGCGACGCAAATCGATTGGAAATGTAGCTTGAGATTGTTTGCATCATTTGGAGTTTAGTAATTGTTTCTGTTGCGCCTAATCCGATTGCCCACCGCATAACTACCAAACCAACATTTTTTGCTTCATCAGAAGCAACTTCCTCACCATGTCTTTCGTACCCTGACATACGTCACGTATTCATGTGTGTGATTCTGTGTGTCCATAGCTCGTGCATTAGTCTACTGTAGTCATCACAAATCATGAATAATTATTATCTTAGTAAGAATTTTATCTGTATTTAATAGTCTTTCGCATAAATATTTTTATTGACATGACGACGTTGTTAAGAAGAAAGGGAAGACTTGAAACCCTATTAGCTCAGATTCCAATTTATAATTCTAAATGAGTCATGAAATTAAATATCTATAAAACAATATAATGAAACTGTACATTAAGACAGAGTGTTTCATTCATGTTTCAATTTCATTTTACATGTCGGGGCAATATTATAAACGATACAAAACTCTCCCCTCAGAATGACCTAAGTTGCACACCAGTTGGCTCTTTAAGTAGTCCAACAGCCATCCATGGTAACTTGGCTCTTTACATTTAGAAAAAAAAACTTGATCTTTACCGTCAAATTCCACATTTATTTATATGGTTCAGATGCCAACCATTTTATGATTACAATATATATCATCATATGCCCCCTGTCCAGTTCATCGATCCTACTTCCAGATCGTTCGAGACAATCGGCATCATCGTCAGGACATTTGCGCCCCTTTAATAAACTCGTCACGATACATCGGACATCTGGAAGTTATAGTTTACATTACAAGGTTAATCTTTATAGATATCTCTATGTATATACTAAGTAGTTTTTTCATGCCTCAAACACCCAAATAGCAAGGACAAAACTCACATATATTCTATGCACAGTACGCAATCACGCTGATCAGATCAGCAGCCTGCTGAAACCCCCCAATAACTAGTCTTGGAGACTTGGGATCGCCTGTATAATAATTGCTCTAGCCATCGTATAACGACCTGCGGACGGGCCAACGATCAACCCTACGCCAGGCCCAGGATAGAGATGAGCAGAGCAGCCAACCACCACAACCTGTCCCGGTCCCGGCGATCACCGACGAAGTGGCGGTCGATCGTGCCTGAGGTAGGCCAACTACACAGAGATTTTACAAAAAGAAGACGGAGCCTATACGCGGCTGCGCCTAAGCCGAAGCGGCATCAGCAGATGACGCAGGAGTTGGGGTCCTCCTCGGCGCTGTGGACGACGTACTGGGGCGGGTACGGGTGGGGGTAGTGGGACTGCTGCGCGGCGGCGTACCACGGGTGCGGCGGGCCGTACCACACGACCTGCTCCTGCTTCTTGTCGTCCTCCTTCTTGTCGCCCTTCTTGTCGTCCTTCTTCTCCTCCTTGGCTGGCCCGACGGAGACGATGGCGGCGGAGCCGACCTTGCGCAGCCTGGCTACGACATCGACGGGGTCGATCAGCCCGATCACCGTCAGCTTGGAATCCTTCATGTCCACGGAGACGGAGTCGATACCTGCGCGTGTGGGGTTGCGGCCGTCAGAGATGATGAGAATTCGATCGGACATGAACTCACTCGTTACGAACTGAAAAGCCTGCCCCCGCTCCAGCCTCCAGGTCGCGGTTCTGCAGGACACGGATGGTGCCGGCGGCGGCCTCCGTGACGGTGACGGAAGAGAGGGGGGACGGAAGCAGAGCAGAGCAGAGGAGAGGAGTGAACTGTGAAGTAAGTACCGTGGAGAGTGGAGACCGCCTTGAGCACCTTCTGCTTGTCCTTGTTGTCGTGCAGGTCCAGCTTCAACACCACCTTCTGCGCCACGACGAGCGGCGATGAACCCCGTTAAAACCCCCGGGCCATACACACGGACATGGAAACAAACACCAAAATCGGTGCGAATCGAGCGAGAATTCTGAGGCGATTGGTTTACCTTGTCGGCCATGGCGAAACCGATCCTCCTCGAGTCCTCCTCCTAGGCTCCTAGCTAGCGCGCGGAAGCGAGACCGAGAGCAGCCGGCTGTGCCTTGGGCCTTGGCTATGTCCGACAGTCCGAGCTGCGGGGGCGGAAATGGCCGTGGGTGTGTTCTCCTCTGCCTGCCTCGGCGGTGAATCCGATGGGCGTGTGCTTGGATTGTATGGGGGCGGCAAAGAAGCCCGAAGGCGACCCGGATTTATAGGCCGGCGCGTGCTTGCGGGCGGCACTCGGCACGGCAGGGCCCCGGGCACACTGTGGTCTGGCCCACTGGCGCCTGGCGGGCGCATCGACAGCCCCGGTCGCGTGGGGCCGTGGGCAACAAAGGGCGCCGGGCCAGGCCAAGGAAGCCGCGACGAAGGCAAGGTGGCTGGCCTGGGCGGGCGGGCGATCGGATCGAGCGCGATCGCGTGACGACGGACGCTCTGGGCGGATCAGTGGGCTAAAAGCCGTTAAGAAAGCCGGTGATGACGTCGCGAGGAATTATCTATTTTTCTCTGTTCGCTCCCTCGAGTCGTCGTTCCGCTCCCGGTTCTTGCTCCTGCTTGGACTCCTCCGCGCCGCGCGTGGGCGTGGTGGGTGGGTGGCCAGGGGGAGTCTGGGTCTCAGGGAGGCCGTTGCGGCGTTGCCCTGCCGCGTGGAAGTAGAAACGCAGCCGCCAAAGGAGATCGCGCCGCGCCCCAGCCAGCCAGCCCGCTTGACGGGGTCCCGCGCCCACCAGTGGCCGCGACGACTTTTCGAATTTGCCGGGTCTTCGTCCGCTTCCGGGTGGGCTGGACGCCCTGGGCCGGTCGTCGTCTGATCCGATCGGCCGCGTGCATGGCTGTGGCGTCTTGACTGACTTGCGACTAGCGGGCGGTGACGCCGTGGCGGCACTGTTGCCAGTGCAAACGATCGAGAAAAGTGATACCGGCCTGATCGTTACCGCCTGCCGTGGTGGTCTTGGTTACTCCAAGCTCGAAAGTGATCGTACTGTCACTAATGTGTGTGTGAGAGAGATTGTATCGTACACTAAGCTAAGCTTCCGGCAAGCTCGAACTTGCCAGTGCATTGATTGCACTGTCGCTGCCATACGTTAGTTTGCATTGACACCGACAGGACTGAATGCACGCGTCGCCGAGTTGACTTGAAGCAGGTCTCGGGTCGGGTCTTCCAGTCTCGTGCATCCGTCCGTCCGTCCGTTTAGCCATGGGGGGCATGGGCCATGGCGAGGGGGAACGTTGCAGAAATTTCATTCCCTGAATCACCACGTGGCCCAAAATTTCCTCTCCCTGCCGCGTCCATTGGTCAGAACGAACTTTCTGACGTCTTCCATGCCCGGATCGATCAACGATCATCATGTGTTTGGAGATTCGCGGCACAACAGAAGAAGCGAGTTCGTATACTCCAAAAAAGCTGCACAGGTCTCCAGACGATTTTTTTTGGCTTTTGAAAAGCCGGCACGCATTTTCATGAAAAGAATAAAAAAAACTGCACCAAGAGCGAAACGTCCGATCAAAACCCACGACCGTGCAGCATCAGATTCCGTGACGATTCTCGCCGCCTGGAGTTCAGTAACGGCTTGTTCGGTTCGTGCCGCGGCGCGTTCGCCGAGCTCGAGCTGAACCAAAAACCTCTGCATTGGGATTGGGACATGACATGTTCCTCCAATCAACATCATTCTGTGCTCGTACCTTGAAGGCCAAGGTTCTCCCTTCCCTTCTCCGTCGTCAAAAAAGCCGGGAGGCGACGCATTCACTCGACGACTCTCCAGTCTCCAGTGCGCACTGACGAGCCTATGCTAGCTACGGGCTCTTGGGGCTGTTTTAGAATTTGTAGAGAAAAAAAGAAATAAAAATCAAATGTCCACTATTCTCTTGCACAGGCAAGTTGCAATCACTCGCCTCTATAGAAGAATATAGATTTGCAAGAGTGGTCAAGTGATGACACAATAGGGGTCAACTGCCTGGTCAAATAAATGAAAGATGGAGTCCACTTATACTGTTCGCAAAAATTATATGGTTCTTGAGATGAATAGTCAACCATATTGACTGGCTCTATGATATAATGTTCCTTGGATCAAATAACATTGTCACATTTGGTTTTTGCATAGCCACCTTTGATGCATATATCTTTGAGCACTAATGTCTTCTAGAATTGTATCTCCTACCAGCCCATCTTCAGCATTTGGCAATGAATGAAGGAAGAGATGGGACTTTCCGTGCATTTTTAGAGCGGCCTAGCGTATCGTATGACACGATAAATATTGGATTGTGCTGCCCGCTATGTCTAGGATCTCGATACAACGAGTGGTGCTACTTAGTACTTGACCCATATCTTAGATCATGACCAGGCCAACAAGGCACGAAAGGCCGCTTGCTATTGGAATATCAAATCGATGCTTGCCATCTATAGAGTCTAGCGTAACAACTAGGGACACAAATTATGTCTTTTATCCTTGGAATATGTGGACATTAGCTATAAAAGATAGATGCTAGTTGAAGACATATTTATCCACGACATCTTTTATGAAAAGTCGTTGGGCTCATGAGTAAATCTTCCAAAGAGTGGTCTAAGGAGTCAAGCCCAGATATCATCGAGGGTTGTGCTTAGGCTAGCATGGCATAAAGGTGGTCCTAGGTGCTATGTGCCATACTTGGAACGAGGAAACGACTTATTGTGCATGTCCAGCGTACCTAGAAGTCATTGCTAAGACAGAATGGCACAGTCCACGTCCATACTCTAAGGGCTTTCCCAACGCTACACAGTATCAGAGGTAAACATAGGCCTGGTTTACATTGCAAATTTTTGCAACCTGGACACTGTAGCACGTTTCGTTTGTATTTGACAAACTTTGTCCGATCATGGACTAACTAGGCTCAAAAGATCCGTCTCGTGATTTACAACCAAACTGTGTAATTAGTTATTTTTTTACCTACATTTAATGCTCCATGCATGCGTCCAAAAATTGATGTGATGGAGAGAGAGTGAAAAAGCTTGGAATTTGGATGCAATCTAAACTTGGAACTTGGAAGAATAGAGGTGAAAACGTTGTTCGCAACTGATAGAGATGACGGTGTTGTGAGATTATAGCTCCATATCTGCCTGGAGCACGTGACATACTGACATATAACTATTAGTCTGAGGCTTATGATTTGAGTATATGTTGTGACTGCCCTAAACGAGGAGAGAAATAAGACGAGAAAGAAAAGCATAGGGTGGGGGTGGATGTGCCCTTAGCCACGTACCTGAGTGTCGCTACTAAGCCTGGATGCCTTGGACACGTTGCCTGTCTCCATCTATTAATAATTAACAAAACTGGAAGCACGTTGCCGAGTCGACTTGGGTCTCCGATCTTGCATCCGTGTCCGTCCGTTTAATCATGGGGCAACAACGGCTGAGAGGAGATTTCATCCTGGTAGTGCGTTCGTTCGTCACAACAAACTTTCTGACCTGGTCTCTCCGATCAGCAGGCCGGTCTTGGCCAGGATCAGGTGTTTGCATGCGAATTCGCAGCAGAAGCACCGCGATGTGCACGGCCGGGCTTTTCGCCTTCTTCTTTTCGAGCGCGAGAGAATGCTTCAAAAGGCTTCTATTTTTCCCGGGCAGAAGCCTCTTTAGTTCCTAAAATTTTGCAAAATTTTTCAAGATTTACTGTCACATCGAATCTTTGGACGCATGCATGAAGCATTAAATATAAATAAAAAATAAAACTAATTACACAGTTTAGACGAAATTCATGAGACGAATCTTTTAAGCCTAATTAGACTATGATTGGACACTAATTGCCAAATAACAATAAAAGTGCTACAGTACTATTTCTCAAAAAAATTCGCCAACTAAACAAGACCTGGGTGAGCGAGAGTGCCAGACGTACTTTTGCGTTGGGACGTGACATGTTGGTCCTGTTTCTTCTGGTTCTTGGACTGATTCAAAAAAATTCAAATGTCCATTATTCTTCCATATGGGCAAAGCTGGAACAACCACTCACTCTCAGGGGCGGAGCTAGAGAAATATAGAGGGGGTGCGGCCATGCGGGCTTCCTTGGTAGCAATTACTTAGATATATACGATGTTCATACTATAATGTATCTTAATAGCGCTACAGACAAGATTTTAGCTCAATAATTGACACAAGCAATATTGATATATACCAACACTGAAATAGCAGTAATAGTGCTTACCATTTAACAAAATATAGTTAGAGAATGCCACAATTATTAAAAAGAAAGCTTGTTGGCATATTGAAGTAAAGAAAAAAGAACGAACCATTCAATTTTAAGCAAAGAGTTAATAGAATGATTTGTTGAAAAAATAAAATCACATCTGAAATGTAGAGGGAAAATTGGTGGCTAGGATCTCTCAAATCTCTAGAGCTAGATTGTCTTCCTAGAATTTTTGGACCAATATATATCCATCTTCCGTTTCTAACCATGCAATACCTTTGCACTAAGACTGTATGATGCTTTCCTTCAGAAAACCTTTGCATACTTTTCCTAACATTCACAAAAATATCTATATTTTAGTTGATTTAGTTGCTTTCATAAATATCAATTACCAAACATGAGAGAAAGAATAAAAAAGCATGACCCTAGAATCTGGACAAACTACCAACAAGAAGCTAGGAACTACAAAATTGCAGATTGCTGGAAGTTGAAAAAAAATAAAGAATCAAGTTGCTTACTTTGCCTTGCGGTCAAGATTGAATAGAAAATAGAGCAGGCGGTGGCCGCACTGCATTCCTAGACTCCTGGTGCCCGTGCTCGGAGCCCCAGAGTGCTGGCCTGGCGAGTAGCCGCCTGGCCAGCTGCGCAGCAGTGCCGCTGCCGTCGTCCAGCCGATCATCTGCCACCGGACTTCGCGCCACTAAGCGTCAAGGGGAGAGAATAGACGCGGGGCTGCGGGAGGGGAGGCGACGCGTGACGGCGTGAGTCGAAGCGCCGCCCGATGGTTCCGTGCGGAGGTGTGGTGGCTGATGTTTGGCTGCCTATT